GGGGGGGGGGTTAGAAGTGGGAGTGGGGCAACTCTCTATAGGCCCAGGCACCACCGCCCTTTCCCTTCCTGTACCTGGCCTGCAACCTCAACTGGGTGGCCAGTGCAATAACTATTGCAGTGGGTAGCGGATGGCCCATCAAAGGGCGGCAGGAGAAGACACTCACACCAGTCCCCTCGACTGTCAACTGCCAACAAACTGTCCATCCAGCTGGGAGTGGGGACAGCTGGATGGGAAGCACAGGCTGGTGTTGCCCCAGCCTCTGTCCAACACAAGAGGATTCCAGGTAGCAAATGGCTGAAACGCTCCAACAAGGGACAAGGGAGGGAAGGGCAAAGGGATCCCCACTTGTGTACAGCCCCCACAGCCCAGGGGCTGGGAGAAGGCAGACCTTGCTTGTGAAGTGCTGGGGCCTCTCCCAGGGCTGGGGCCCGGGCAAGCTTGCAAGCAAGCAGGCCAGGCAAGGGCACAGGACCCAGGCATTCCCGGCTAGGGTAGTTCTGTCTTCTGGTTCAGACACAGACCAACGCCAGCCACCACGGCAGGATCGATCGCCCCACTCACAGCGGAAGGCTCCAGGCCAGCGGAGTTTATTCCGGGTGGTCCCCCGGCCTGGGTGCTTCGGGGAAGCCACACCTTGAGCCAGGGAGTTTCCTGCTGAGACTCACACTTCACAGCAGACCACAGGGAAATGGATGCGGGGGTCCAGCTTCTCGGTGCCCTGAGCAGTCAGGTTCTTTTGCACCCGCCTCAGCTTGGCCCGTTTGTGCCCACTGGCGACGAGGGTCTCCCATGGAAACTCGTGAGCCAGATGGAACCGCGGCGGGCGCGTGGAGACGGAGGGCAGCACAGCCCGGCCCCACCAGCTTGGTCAGCGCCTGCTGCGCCGGGCGCCCCTGGGCCACCGCCCCCACCGAGGGGAAGGGCCATAGGCCCCAAGCTTTGGAGCTGCTGGCACCCATTCAGGCCTCTCTGCCCTCAGAGCCGACGGCGCGCCATGCCCAGCCTCGGCCTCCCCTGACAGGTGCCACCGACCCCTTCCACAAGTTCGGCCGGCCGAGGCTGTAACTCTTGACAGGAGTAGAAAGCCCCACTTTCCTCCTGCAGAGCGACTGGTGGTTTCAAACTGCTGACCTCACCGCTAGCAGTCGGACGCTACACTTGACTGGACACCACACTTCCCAAACCAAACCTCACTGGCCTGGAAACGATTCTGACTCACAGAACCCCACAGGACAGTGAAGAACTGCCCCGGTGCGTTTCCGAGACGCGGACTGCTTCCGGGAGTAGAAAGCCTCATCTTTCTCCACGAAGCCCCCAGCAGATGAAAGCAGGATTCTCCAACAAGAGAGAGTGGGGGAAATCAGCACCAACAGATCAGATTTCAATAAAGACCTAGAATTCTGGTTGCTCTGGCCACAGCGGATTGTCCTGGCTGGGGTGTGTGCTAGGTAGGGGAGCATTTCCTCCAGCCCCAGGAACAGAAGGCTGTCGGGAACCTGCAGGGAGGGAGGGCAGCAAGTTTGGCATTGGGAAAGCTGGTACAGTCTTCCAGCCACCAGCTCTGCAGTGCCCACTCTCCGACCTTCTCCCGAGGGCTCTGGGTTGGAGAAGACAGGGGGAGATGGTGAGAGGATGGGTGTGAGCGACTGCGAGCAGGGTTCGTTGCGACTGCTATCCTCTGAGAGGCGAGAAGGGCAGGTGATCTCACTGCTTCAGGAGCTAGAGCGAGCTTTCCAGGGAAGTCTGGAAAACTCGGGAACAGCCAGGACGATGCCAGGTGTGCAAGAGAATCGGAGGGTAGAACGTGAAGGGACATTCCTAAAAGGGAGGGTGGAGGGGGGGTGTGACACCCATAGAAGCAGGACTGGATGCTTGGAGATGAGCCAGGAAAGGAAGTCAGTGGACTTGGCAAGGAAGGCGACGTCACCTGGGACCTTAAACAGAGCCATTTGGTAGCGATATGAGCCAGCCTGCTTGAGGCCACAGGGGAAGGGGCAGATGGCGGCTCAAATAACCCACAGGTGAGGAGAGGGGGCAGGTCTACCAGGCGAGTGAGAGCAACGCTGTCAGCAGGGGTTTCTGTAGGGCGAGGATGATACAGGACTGCAGGAGCAGGCTGCACCTCGAGAGGCGGGGGTGGGGTGGCGGTCTCACCATGAGCCTCCAGGGCAGCGGGGCCAATGCCATTTTACAAAGAACAAAGCCGGTGCAAAGTTAAGGACCAACCTAAGGCCACACAGCCAGCAAGTAGAACCGGGACTGCTGAGCGGGGTTCACTGAAGACCCCCTCAAACTCACGCTACCCAAAACCAAGCTCACACTTGCCGTCCCTGCAAACCAGCTCCCGGCTTGAGGGCACACCTGAATGGAGCCTGGCTCACCGAGGCCTGATTCCTCGCTCTGGGAGCTACCGTGGGTGAACTTGGGAAGGCACCTGGAGCCCAGTGCCCCAGCCCACCCCACCTCACCCGGACTCCCAGGGTCTCGCCCTGGCACTGCAGACTGCCAGGGACCCTCCAGAGCTGTCCTCTCAACACACTCCACACGGGTGGCCCCGTGCCTGCCAGCCACGTGGCTTGGCTTCCTCAGCAGTCTGACCCCAGCCCACCCTTTTCTGGGCCCCCTAACCACTGCAGATCAGGCCCCAGAGCCGGCACAGGCCACATGCCCCATACTCAGTCAGTCTACGACACTAGTGGGGTTTTAAGGGTGGCTCGGACACTGGCCTAGCAAACCTGCTGTGGGGGGATGGGCATAGTGCGATGGTAGGAATGAACTCGGGGTGTGGTGTTCATGGGGAGGAGAGGTGTTCTTCTTCAGGGGTGCTCCCTGTTGGACAAATGCAGCCATGGGTGGTGTGGGGTGGATGTGAGCTCACCGAAGGGCTGCCCCCTCCCCTCAAACAGAGGGGACCCTGTAGGGTGCCTGAATCCCAGGAGTTGCCCTGTCCCTGCACTGGCTGCTACATGGAGCCATGGATCTAGGAGAGCCAGATGACCCCATTTTTCATGGGGAAGGGCAGGCAATCCATATGTAAGTATACAACCTCCTACTGGAGGTACTGGCTACTCACTCACACTTGCAGCCAAACACGATAAAACATGGGGCCTGTCCATGCCCTCCCCACACCCCAACAGCTCCGGACACCAGGCCCAACATCCTCCCTGCTCAGTCACCGGCGTCTTTCTCAAAAGACCAAACACTGAAGTCATGGTCATCCATTCCAACTCACAGCAGCCCGCTAGGACAGGGTGGACCTGTCCCCTTTTGAGTTTCAGAGATACTCAGTCATTATGGGGGTCAAAAGCCTCCTTTCTCCCTCGAGTAGCTGGTGGTTTTGAACAGCTGACTGTGTGGTTGGCAGCCCAACGTGCAACCACTGCACTACCAGGGCTATCCCCACCAGCACCTGGACGTCCAGTGGCGGGCTAGAACAGCCTATCTGTGGCTCCATATGCCAGGACCAAGTGTGCCTGTGAGGGTGGTGGCCTGAGCTGCCCGAGAAACCCCACCTGGTCCTTACCTTCATTGTGCTGAGCTCTCCTCCTCTCATCCCGGGGGGTTCTGGTTCCGTCGATTTTCCTAGAAGGAAAAGGTGCCGGTGGGGGGTGGGGGTGTCCCAAGTTATCAGGTCTCTCTTTCCTACTTATGAAGCACTAAGCCCCAAACCCACTGCTACCAGCTAGTTCCAACTCGTGGCGACCCCATATAGGGCTTCCGAGACAGCGAGTCTTCACAGCTACAGACAGCCTCCTTAGTCTCTTTCAGAGTGGTTGGGGGGTTTGAACCGCTAACCGGGAGGGTAGCATTAAACCACAGCCCCACCAACGAGACTTGAAAATCTTTGTGCGATAAGCCCACATTCAGAAAGAGCTACACAAGGGTGCACTCAGTACTCACAAAACCAAAGTTGAAGCAAAACGACAATTACATTAAGTGCTCACTGGGTACTCCAATCACCCCAGTCTCGGCCCTCCCAGTGTCCCCTGCCCCTGGGACCAAGGCTGCAGTACATACGGGGAGTAGGGATGTGTCCGGGGGGCAATTGTCCTCTGTGTTCCTGTCTGGAGCACATCCTGAGGGGTCATCATGACATAGAACTGGCCTGCAGCAAAAAGGGGGTGTTTAATGCCACAGTCAAGGACAGGACTGGCACTGGGGGTGGGGCAACGTCTTCCCTACTAGGACTGTAGGTGCCCCTGCCCTCTGCCCTGGCCCCTTGTCTCCCCTTACCTCCGGCCTGCAAGCTCTGGTCTGTGGTCTGTACCGACACAGCCGTAGTGTCTCCCACGCTGGAGGCTGGGAAATAGGCAAAGCGTGCCTCCCCACTGACAGCCTCGGCGGCCGGGCTGCCACCATTACTGAAGGGATTTTGGATGACAGCCTGCGTAGAGGACACAGAGGCCACCGTTTAACCATCTCTCTCCACCACCACTCCACCCCCCTGGCATGCTTGAGGTTCATGCTGTGTTTTGTGTGGACGGGAAACATGTCTGTGTACCAGTCCGTCCATGTGTCCAGACAGTTCAGGAACTTGGCAGACATTTGGCAATTACTTGTTTAGCCATCTTTTTAATTTTTTTAACCTCAGTGTCCTGTTACCAACAGGCCCGTTTGAAAGGAAAACAACTGAGGCCTGGTGCAGACAGCTTGCCTAAAAATGCACCTTGCAGAACCGGAACCATAGCCCAGATAGCCTGATAGGTAGCCTGATGGAAGGGCCAGTGTCCCACTTGCCCCGCCCCGTAGGGCTCCCAAAGCTGGTGTC